CAGAAACTCTTTCCGTGCCGCGTTCACGGAGAAAGGATCGCCAGAATAACCGGCGGGATGGCTCGAAATCGCGCTTCGTCCTGAAAAGAATGACGTTCACAGCTGTTTTCATAGAGTCGTGATAATCGTGAAGAGGACGGGTGCAGACAGAAATAACGATTCCGCGTGTCGATCGTATAGATAGAAATTTATTGTGCTCGTAACGCCTGCGATTTGTACATTTATAGTCTCTTACACTACACATTTATTATGTACACGGAATTACTTTTTATTTAGGCGTGACGCGCGATTCTTATATACTCGTCGATAACGCGTATGCAAATTATGTGAATATGTACAAAAATACAAAAGGAGAAAAAAAGATATTGGCACATTCGAGACAGACTCACGTGGGCAAGCGAAGCGTATATCACATTGCTCGGATTCGCCAGGAAGTTCTCTCCCTGTTTTATCAACGATACAGGTTTCGGGATCAGAGGGACAGGGGGGGGGGGGGCGCAGTGCACGATGACGTGCGTGCGAGCACGCCGATTTTGGTAATCATGGACGACATCACATTGAACACGAGCACCGGACACATGGCGCAACGACATAAGTGGATTCAGTCTTAACTTGTACAATATGAATAATTCACGCGATTTCTTCATACTGTGCTCATTTAATATACCGGGTACCTCTAAGATATCAGGCGCTAAAGACGTACTTTTGATTTTATATGATATAATTTTGGAAAGTTATATTTAATTATAAATTTCAGAAAATTATATTATATGAAATTTCCTTTTATGCTCAAAATTTAAGTTTATGACAAATTGAGAGGTTAATCTTACTATTAAGCTATACAACGTATTGGAATGAGCCTTTTCTATAACAAACTATACACGCGTAGGCTTGCGGCCACAATTAAAAAAGAATAGTTTTCACAGTTAGGAACGTCTATCTTTCTTTCACATGCTATTTCTTTTCTATTTGCAACAAAAATAAATGCCCCGTTTCATATTGCTATCCTTTTTTTTTTGCTGTCGATCATTCTTACTCGTTTTACGGCTCATTCCAATATGTTATATAATTTGATAGATCTTACAGACTGATTTCTCTATGATGCATCCTATGATACGTTCGATATTAACAGTTTCTCTGAAATTAATTTTTGAATGCTTTACGTGAATCATCGCACAAAAATACAACTTTACTTTGAATTCAATTTCCTTCGACGGTTACTTCTAAGCTTCAAATCACAAAGTTTAAGAATTTCGAAGAGAAAGGTGATATATTACACTAGAATCGATTATCTACACATATCGCACTATTCCTATAAAAAACGAACTTCTTACGGAGGCTTAAGTACTACAACAATATATACAAGCGTGATGCAAATTTCTATCTCTTTGATAAAAAAAAGCTTCGATATGTTCAGATATTTTAAGAGCCAAAGTTTAACCAAATTTAAAACCTATTTTACAGTGAATTGCCCGGCTCAATTAAACATATCGCGTTAACTGAGTGTGGAAGTCTTGCAGACAGATAATCAATTGACTAAATGTCGGTCTCTCTTCCGCTGACATAGCCCAGCAGTATGCCATCACCGCGAACAGCTCGTCTGGACAGTTTATCGGTTGTGCCAATCTGTAGCCGTCTCTGAGGTAGGATGCCATTTCAAATGGATCCACTTCCACATAAGGTTGTTGCGCCAACGTCGTCAATTCCCACAATAAAACGCCGAATGCCCACTAAAGTTGAACAAAATAACGTGATAAAAATTGAAATAAAGGTTCACTTTGATAAAAAAAAATGAAAGATTGTAGAAAGAAAAATATTGGAGTGAGATAAGAGGTATTTGGATAATCATATTTCAATAATATTTCGCACACTTACCACGTCAGAGGCTGTTGTGAAGGTCTTGGTGAGTAAACTTTCTATCGCCAGCCATTTGATAGGGCGATTCTCGTTATCGCCGAGGCAGTGATAATCTTGTGGGAACAGATCTCTGGCGAGGGCGTTATCCGTGATCTGTACTCGCAAGTCGTCGTCAACACTGGAAGATAAAAATTAATGAACCTCAGACACGACGATTGCCAGGGAAGCACGTATCGTACGGTTTCGTTACGGCATCGTTATAAGCACTTTTCCGAAATGGAAATCAGATAGACGCCAATTAAAGCCTTACGGTAACGCGCCGGTTATTAAGTCTACGCGCGCAATTAATTCGGTAACGAGACGTAACGACCACAGCTTCGTATATACAGGTGTACAAAAAGGTGTATAAAAACGCGAGGCTTGTGTCGAGCCGCGTTGAAAGTGATACGTCTGGCGATAAAAATTTTTTAAGAGCGCTTAAGAATTTATAGAGCGCATAAAATTAAGTCAGTAAGAAGTAATATAAAATATGTTGTTAATAAAAGTCTACGTCGTATTTCTGAGGGGGGGAAAAAAGGGCAAATAAATAATTTATTATTATTACGTACACGCAATTTCTGGCAGCCAAGTCTCTGTGAATGAGTCTCTTTTTGTGAAGATATTGTACACCTTTGGCAGCCTGTAGTGCCATTTCGACGACTTCTTGCGTTGTGAGGGCCCTTGGGGGCCCTTCGCTGCTTAGCTTGCACCTTAACAAGAATCTCTTCATGTTTCTGTAACCCGTGTGCGGGTACAGCAGAAAAGGTGCGCTTCTGTCTTCGATAGAAACACCGAGAACCGGAAGCAATGCCGGATGACTGAGCCCGTAAAGAGCTAAACCTTCCCGCAGGAGAAGAGCCACCTATTTAAATTAGCATATAGTTATATTTGAATACATTCTAGTCACGTTGAGAGAAAGGAAACGATTTATTTTTAAAAGATTAAAGTTAACTTTGCTTCGAAACTTGAAAACATTTTAATACAACAATTGATATCCGGAAATTTTTTATTTTTATATACATTCTTGAGAGAATTAGCTTCCGGAAGTAATTAATTAAAATTATATTTAAGATTATACGAAAAATTAACTCACTTGTGATTGGGATGCGTGCTCGGCAGCTGTTTTCACTAGTACGTCTCTCGGGGATAAAGCACCCTCCTCGTGATAACTTCCTCTGTATACGCGTCCAAATGTTCCTTCCATTTCGATGCTGAGAAGACGTACTCTGCATCTGCGAGGAAAATTCATTATTTTCATTAATTTTGTATCTTATCACACGTTCCTGAATTATTGCTTGTAAAAATCGAAATCTATTTTTTTAGGAAAAATATTTATTTTCAAATAATCAGGTTTAAAAAAATTGCTCGAGGTTGTCATAATTAATCAAATGCGACGAGCTTCGTTGTTTGAAAATACGATAGTCACCTTTGAACAGTGATTTCCTGAATTCTTTCGTGCAGTTCTCGGCTAGGGCGATCGTCTAGTCTTCTGTAAGACGATCCGGACGCAGCGGACGCAGGTGGAGGTGTTTCCGGTGACAAAAACGTTTGCGCAGGTCCGACTCCGGTGCCCCTTTCGACGCTGCACGCCGAACTGAGACCTCTGGATTCCCTAGAATTCGTAAAATCGCAGTTGGAAATCTAGTCGATGGAGTCAGTTCACTCTGACAACTCACTGGAGAGGATCTCGATGTCGTCTGGTCTTCTTGTCGCGCACGTAGTAGGCCAGCACGAGGACGAAAATAGCGGCGATGAATGCACACGCGCAGCCGATGGCCGCGTAAAAGATCTGACCGCCGGAAGTCGTGCCGGGGGCGGCGACGAGGACCTCCTCGGGCTCTATGTAACTCTTGTCCTTCAAGCAAATCTTCTTCCGCTTGAACTCCAGGCTGGTAAGGTTGGTCTTCACCGAGACGTTTATTCGGATGCTCAAGTCGACTTCCACGTCGTAGGGCCCGCAGTGAAGCGTGAGGGCCCACGTCTGTATGTAACCCACGGGTATCACTCCGGTCTGGGAAATGTTTAGCGAGCCGCTCAGCGCTGAAGGATTGCTGATGTCGACGAAGAGCGAGTACGGTAGCTGGAAGCATAGAGAATTCCAATGGTCGGTTGTCTCTCGAGCGACTCGCCGATTGTTTCAGAGTGAAATTTGACTCGCGAAGAGATTTGGGGCAAAAATCTACAAGACTCGGAATCCATCTGAGAACCGAGACAAATGAAACAATGCCGACGTGAGGTTCGGCCGGCTACTCTCCTCCGTCCACAAGAGCGTTGAACTTTCCTACAATCTCGAACGTGCCATTCTTGGAAGACAATTTGCGCTGAGCAAAGCGAGTCCGAGGGACTACGAGAACAAGAGTGGAAAGAAAATGGAGGGAGGGCGCGACGAAAGGAGGGAGGAGGGTGAAAAGAGGAAGCGAGGGCTTAAGCGATGCAGAAGCGAGCTCGCAGCTGATTACTAGCTCGCAGTGATGATCGGTTCCCGGCTAGCCGCGAACGGAGTGCCTCGTCAACCCTGTCGGCTTGTCGCTACCGCTATCCGCCGCTCTCCCGTTTCCTCCAAATGGACCTGGCGGATTCCAGTTAATAATGTAGACGGGCGAATAAGATTTCGTTCGAAATCCGGAATGAGATAAGACCTGTGCAGGCCTGCGCTTGGTCAAATGTGGCGTTAAATTACGATTTTCATTGGATGTTGAAGAAAATTGATTAGATTAAAATATTGATTGATTCATTTATTGATGCTCAGCCGAGAAAGTAGGGAAATAATTAATTATATAAGTACAATGAATCATTAAAACACAAGATCGTCAATCACCTGCGTCCTTTTAGGAAAAGTGACAGATGGCACGGTAAGAATACCGTGATAGATGATGCATCTCTGAAAAATCTTTGAAAATATCCCTGCTTTGTGCTTCCATCGTGAAGGATGTCAATTTTACAATACAATTAACCGAAAAATTGCCATATCTCCCCGCGATACTTATACAATAACTACCGCGTCCTTTTGTCAATTCTCGAATCCGCCATATGTTTCATACCGCACGAACGGCGTTGCGTGATACGCGCGCGGCGAAGGAAAAATTGCTGTACAAATACCCGCGCAACAAACGTGCGTGCGATCGCAAAATTGAATGCGCTCCGTCTGGCGCGCGAAGCCGGCGAGGGGCAGGATTCTCCGATAATTCGACGCGTACAGGCCGTCGCCGCGCGGAACCGCTTTATCGGGACACAATTCCCGCGCGTTTGACGGACAGGCAGTGGTTTAAGTACCATTCAGGCAGCACGGTTTTGCCGGCGGAGGTGACGGATGTCTTTGCGTCGCTCGTCAGTCTTCTTGCTCTCCCCCCATCTCCCCCCCCCCTTTCCGCGCCCTCCCGCAAGCCTGTCCGCCCGAGAGACAACTGGAAGAAGTGGATGGACCACTTTGTCCCGCTCCTGGATCCGTCCTTTTTTTCCGCGCATCGCCGACGAGTCAATCGGACACCCCGCCGCATTCTGCCCACTTTTCGCCGCCACTTTGTCAATGTACCACGGATGTCGACGGCGAGTCGACGGGCAGAAGTGGGCTCGCGAGTGGCTCCGCGCGATGACTCATGGAGCGAGAAGAAGGGCCCGCTTTCGATTTTATATCCCGCATGAATATGCAGCCGCGCGATTCTCGCCGTCGTGACTTAACGCGCGGCGTCAGCCGCGTCGTTACATTAAGAGTAACATAAAATTAATTCGCGCGGCAGGATACCTCCGCCGCCGGTTGTTTATTCGGGACAAAAAAGGTGGAGGTCGATCGGCAGGCTTTTAGCAATATTAATGAACGCGCGCGGTTGAAACGGAGGATAGCGACACGACTGACGCGACACGAGAGGGAAATATACGGCGTGATTAAGAAGCGCGAAGGTGGACGGCTAATGGAATCCGGCAAACGGAAATGTTTCAACAATTTCTAATTTCGCCCCTCGGCGAAAAGACGGGAGATCTTTTATTCGTTATTTGCTGAAAAGCCCACGCCATTGTCCACGCTGGGAACCTGAGAAGCGGAAAGGCGCGATATGCCTCGATAATCCTGATAAGTACGGCTCGTCGTAAGGACACGAGAGAAGGAGAAACGCGAATGAAGATTGGCTAAAGGCTTCTCGAATGGCTGGACGGTGTGATCGCTGAACCCTGAAAAATGCCCGCTCGGATGAGATCCGTCTCTGAGAAGTGTCTTACGTGCGGTGACGCGGATTCCTGCGTTAACGAGCAATTTCAGCATTTCTCAGCCGCGGGCGACTTTAATCCCGGCGAAGAGGCGCGAAGAGACGCGGGAGGAAAAGCCAGAGGAACATAAATAAGAGAGACGTAGAAGCGTTCGCTGGGAATATTGTGCGCGTAAATATCTCGCGCATGGATGATTTTTCTCCTCGACAATCGCCTTATCCTGCTCACTTTGTTACATCCCTTCGAATGTCCTTTCCACTCTTTGCGCTTTTTTATGCGATATATCTTGATCAAAGTCAGGCACTTTTGACTTCAAGTATTTTACGACTAATACACTCTAAGATCAAACCTTTTTCTTTTTGACAGTTAAAATATAACTGTACATAATTTGTACAATCAGTGCAAATTAGCGTGTTAAACTTTAAATGTATATTGTCTCACAATTGCGTAATTAATTTCCACTCAAAATTTTTACTCATCAACATTTTCTTCGACAGTTGCATAATTTCGCCGGTGTTAGAAATAAATTTATTAACTTGCCGCAAGAACACTTACAGGGTCGGGGTCGAAATTTTCCCACGTGAAATGGAGTTTCTGAACCTGCGCTGGTACAGGAACGACGAACTTGATGGCGTACTCGTTTACGACGCCATCCCTGACATAAAATAATTCCGCTTGCAGTCCTGGAACACATAAATTCATCCTTTATGCATTATCCGACGAAAAGAAGGCGTGTAAAAGTTTCTTAATAATTTATACACATCCATTAATATGCGCTCTTTCACGCTGTTCTGCAATCAGTATGATATATCGATCTTGTGACATTTGTCGAATTAGTAGCGTGACTCGTTGCGCTACATCTAAAAGGGGGGAAGTATTTATTTGTCCGCAACTCTGCGATCCCATGCGTAGGAAGCTATCTGGCGCGGATAGTACGAGTGGATGACTCATTCCGCTCTACTCATGTTACAATTAACATAGCGTGCGTTTGTCCCACAAATCTGCGAGAGCGAGAGGTGTGTCGTGACTCCGCCATTAAAAGCATCCATTCGTATATCTCGAATGTTACGGAAACTTGATAAATAAATTAGGGCGCTTCGGACGGCAATTCACGAGAGCCAACAATAAATGTAAAAGTTTCGAAATTAAATTATAATCGAGAACTGGGATTTTTATACAGCTAAAATAGAGAGACGGAGACGGAACAAGCAACTTGAAATTCGATTAACGAATCTGCCGTGTCTGCATGAGCAAAACGTGGAAATAAACCGCGTTAAGCGAGAAAAGTAATTTTTCTCCACTCTCGTCTTTCTCCGAGAACCAGATTCAAAATTGAGTTGTCAGTCGCTTTCGCTCCGGTGATTTACAATGAATTTTCGGTACATCTCTGAAGTGGCATTTTTAATACGAAAGTATATTAAAACTAAAGTGTTGATCAAACACTCGCATTCAGCATGACGATAAATGTAAAACAATTAACTTGCTCTCAGAAAATTTGCCTGCTTAAATGGCTTCTGAGCACGCGAATAATTAACACGCGTGCAGAATGATACAAAGCGCACTTCATCAAACGGAACAGCAAATTGCCGTGTGATGCGCATTCGCTCCGCTAAATTTTCGCCCGTCCCTCTCCGGACCCGCAGTTAGCACGCATTATGCTACCGGGCGACCCGGTCGACGTGAAGGTTGGCGCGCGGGAGCTGCAAGGTTACGTGGGCGAGAGCCGCGGAGAGGAGCGAGGGTGGAGTATCGGAATAAAGGAGGCGAAATCCTGCCTGCGGAGGGGACCGGAACATGGGCGCGCGTCGTGTACTCCCTTTGGGTCTATCCTTTGCGGTTGTATCTGATAGCGTGCTTAACGAGGCACGAGTCGGATTTTTAAGTCACCCGAAGACAATGTGCCGCTGCCCCCACGGTCGTGTCTTTGCTTTCAGTTCGCTCGTTCGGCGTCTCTCCCTTGCCTCGCGCTCTCTCTCTCTCTCTCTGTGGCCCTCCGGCCTTTACCGGTTTTCTGCATCAGATATCGTATACCCACGACCTCGGTGCCGGACGTTTCTGCGGCCAGGCTGCTCTCTCGCTGTCCCGCGCGAGGTCCCGCCGTGGCAATCGCCGTAAAAAAAAAAGAAAGGAAAAGAAGAACGAGCCTGCGAGTTTTCCTTTGAAAATAATTATTCCGGGCTCTGAAAAGCCCACGAATATGTCTGTCGGGACTACCTGCTCCGTAAGAATCGATTTCTTTCGCAGCGCCGTGAAAGAAGCCAATGCAAGAGCGCCGGCAGCTGCGCTCAGCATTTCTGAATAGCGAGCGCACCGGGTTCCTTGTTTGCAAACAGCATTATTCTCTCTTGGAAATTGACGAATGTACGAATTTCGCGAATAATGGATGATTCAATTTGCGAGAATAAAGATCTAACGGATAGTAATTAATGGCGCCTCGGCGCGTAATCCAATTCGCACATACATTTCTCGTCCCGAGGGAGCCTTTCACGATCGTTAATTCGGCGCTAGTCCGCTGCCGCGCGGTGGACGCTAAAGTGTAATCCTTCCGGCATCAAAGACAACTTCACCTCGTCATCGTCCCATCGTCGGCGACTGTGACCTCGTTACTGCAGCTTACGCGCGCCTCTTATCTAGTCGCAGAGGGTCGCGCCGAGCCTCCTCGGCACTTCTTTCCCGCCGCGATTATGCGGGAACTTTGTAAGCGGGTGGAAGCAAGTCGACTAGGGCACCAAAAATCCTTTGATGTCTGGCCACCGCGCGCGCGCGCGCGTGAGCCTGCATGCGACGAAGAAGTGCGAAACCGGCGGCGTACGGCGAGGGAGAGGGGCGCAAAGAGAACGAGGAGAAAAGCCCTTTCAGTAGAGGCGTCGACCCTTGCAAGTGGTGCCAGACACAATTGTCACGAAGGATTCCACGGATCCTGGCCACCTTTCTTCGCGGAACTTGTACCCCACCGTTTGTACGGGCTACCGTGTCCGCTGAAGCAAATGTCGAATTGTTGTTATTTTCGCAGGCGATGATCGTAGATAAGAGGCGAGGAGAATTTCTAGACCACCGTTAAATCCGGTCGGTTGAGCCGATACAGATCTAGGACCTCTGCGGTGTGTTCGGTGGCACACGATTGAATCTTTGTAGCTTAATTCGAAGGAGATTTTTCTTGAGATATTAATTCGCACACAATGGACAAATAGAAATACTACTCGGTTGAAAAAAAAAAATTATTAATATTAATAAAATATAAGGCTCAACTGATTACAAAAATCATTTAAAAATAATAGGAGCGTAAAGAGCTACAATGCTAGTTCTTAGTGCGAAGTTTAAAATATATTCGTTAAATTGTTTACATAAAATCAAACGTTTCGACCTGCCATCAGGCCTTCTTCAGTGTACATTAATAATAAAAATAAAACGAAAAATTCGCTCGCAAATTTCAACATAATGTAAATGATGTGGAAGACGTTAATATCATCCTTTCATCCGATTGTAGTTCGGTAGAAAATAAAACTTTGCATTAAAAACTAGCATTGTGGCTCTTTACGCTGCTATTATTTTTAAAATTATTAATAATTCGCTAATTTAGAAATTTTCAAAACACAACAATTAGATTTTCGTAGTACCAGAATTAATTTCCGATGGAAAAAGAAGAGAGAGATCTTTAAAGTTGTATTGAGTGATTAATTTCAAAAATTAATAGATAATAGCGGGAAACAATTTCCAAACTCACTTGATGAAATAATATTGAGCTGAGCATCACAACAGCAACGCTGATAAAATTTCTATCGCAAAAATGTCGAGCAGAATGCAAGACTCTTTTATAATCTATCCCGCGGGTGAGTTTGAACTTATTTCAGCGCGTGATCGTATGGAATGAACTCGTAACATTAAGAATTAAAATGAATGAAGGAAGAGAAGAGCGAAAGAAATAAATGATAAATGGAAAGAATATTTTAAACTTCACGGAAGTACGATATCCTGAATACTTCATGCTATTCGAAGCGGACCATCGCGGTGGAGTCTCCAGCTCGCTCGACTGTCTGGAGACGCAATAATTCTAAAGGAGTTCGGCTCTTTCAAGTAGAAAGAGCCGAATAGACGTATAAAAGAAAAACGGCGAGGTACGAGTGCAGCCGGAGAAATTTCACACGCCACAGTATTCTGCACTGTCAAAATACAGCATTGAGCCACGTTGACGAGCAAAGATGGCCGAATAATAGGGCGGACACTAGGGAGTGAGGATAAAACAATGAACTATTATTAGTTAAACAATTATGCGATCTTTGAACGAGTCCGAAAGGATCGAAGAGATTATACAGAAAATTATCTCTTCCTTTCTGAATGACGGTAATTTAATAAGAGATTTTTGTTAATACAGAACTAACATAGAAAACTGAACAATGTGATTTAGAAATTTTATTCTCATCTCTCATTTTAAAATGTTTAAAAAGATATTTATAAAATTATTATAAATTGAATTAAATCTGTAGAGAGAGAATTGAAAAATAAAGAAAAAATATTTACTTTTTATATCCAAATTGTATACCAAAGTTTGTCAAATAATTAATTTTATTTTACATGGTATTATTTTAAACGTTAACCCAAATTTTAGTTAAAAAATTTTTTCAAAATATTACATATTCACGACTTTTTAGCTAGAATTTCCAAAGCAAGCATAGAGAACAATCGTGTTTCTATGAGGCAAAAAATAAAAATAAATGCCAAGCGAATAAAACGAGACGATGCGTGTATCAAGCCGCGAAACCATTTGCGAAATTCTGCGGTGTTTCTGGCTGTCAAAATATGGTATTGAACGCGGTTGACGGGCGCAGCTTCGAAACTGGCCGAATAAAAGACCGGACCCCGAAGCGAGGCCGTGCAGAATCGCCTTCAAGCGGGGGCCTAACGCCACGGGGAACCGAGGGAGCCCTCAGTTAGAAACCCAACACCTACGGAATATAAAATCCAGTACGTGTATAACAAGATCCTCCCTGGTGAGGTTCTTAAAAAGCGAGGAACCTGGAACAGACGCACGCGAGGGAGCGAGAAAATAGAAGGAGGGGGCGCAGAGGGGGGTGAGGCGGGGGGAAGGGACGCAGGTTGAAGGGACAGGAAATATTGGATTTACGCGACGCCTACTCACAATGCCCGCAGTGCACGATTCTCGTTCGATTCCCATTCCATGCCGTCGCGTCGCGTGCATCAATAGCGTGAACGACAGGTCGCTGAATTCAGAATGCTGGAATTTTGAATGAGTCTGCGAACGAGTGCGCCGAGATCGGCACAAGAGAATTAATGCGTAATAGACGTCAAATGAAATACAGCGTATTCGACGAAGAAGGATAAATTTCAGAAAAAAGATTGTGCAATTTTAACAATAGAACGGTTTGTCTCTCTCTCTCTCTCTTTCATTTTGTCTTTTTTATAAAGAAAAGTGGTTTTTCATGAATTTAAAATCGATGTTGTTAACAAATTGTGAGTGAAAGAACAAGTGAGAATTTTTGTAAGATAAACGACTGAGATACATCATTTTGCGAACGCAGAGATGTTCGTTTTTCGTCTCGCGCAGCCCGCAATTGCATCCATCACACACGTGATGGAAAGAGCGGTAAATCTCGATATTCCGAATGCGGAGTCGCGTCATCGCGCCGTACGTGGCTGCGGGAACGCGTTCAGCATGCAACGAAAC